TAAACAAAGGAACTTTTTTTTTTTAAATGATATATGCAGGAAAAAAAAAAAAGTTAAATTTCGCAGATTGGAATTACAAACGAGTTAGGCAGTTTTGGGAAAAAGAGGGCCAGCCCACATTTTCTCACTTTTTTTATTCCTCCCGTTTCGCCAAGGTGTGTGTGGTGGAACTACAAGAACAGTCGTCTCTAACATCTCGTTCGGTCGCTAACACTGGGGGGCGCTGCAAACTAGCAGCAGTCATACCATGAGAGCACTCTGGTCAAAATAATCGATGCTTCCTTCTATATGGGGGTTGGAACAATTTTTCTCATTTCTTTTCTAGGGAGAAGCTGGTGAAGGGTAAGACATCCGTCGCGGGGTGGTGGCTACTTCATCGCGTAGGAAGAGGTTAGGTACAGAGGAGCAGGGATGTCTCCATTGATGTGTCCACCGGCGTTTCCATCGGTGTCTTAGCCCCGCGTCGCGTATGCGAATTCACCCCGCTTTGCAGACGTGGTTTGGGACGGCTTCGCAAAATGGGCCAGGGGCAGATCAGGCGCGAAAATGCACTCGAGTGAAGAAAGGGAAGTCTAATCTGGCCCACCGCAAAAAAGGAGAAGCAGAAATAGGAGGAAAAAGAAAGTAACTAGAGCGCAGAAAGGCACACCAAGCGATGCCAGTGTAGAAAAGCAAACCAAGAAACACGAAGCGACGAACGGGCAAGCCATGCGCGGCCGCCCCCAAAAATGATTAAAAGCGGACGTGGAAAACAAAATGGGAAGAACGCAGCTCGGTACCTTATCCTCGTGTTAACCTACGTGCTTATATCGGTGCTGTTGTCATTATACTTCCTGGTCAGGAGGGCAAAGGAGGAGCTGCAAAAGTGTCGACCGATAAACTGGCACCTGTGCCGACTCAAAACACTTATTAAGAAAGGGATCAACAGAATCTACACCTCATGCAAGTGGTCCGATCGGAAGATACACTGTACCGGTGAACATATTCTCCAAAGAGTCGCCAACTTTTTTAAGCGACGAAGATCTACCACATCCCATCCAAAAGAACGAACTGTGAAAACGCCAAAGCATGTTTATATTGTTTTAAAAAAGAGAGACGTTATTATACTACAGCGGGAGAAAAAACTTTCGACCTACCTCGTGAACATTGCTGTGTGCCTGTATGAGCACAAAGTGGCACATGTCAGTATCTATGTGGCTGAGTGCCTTTTCGATTCTGTCTTTTTCGATGAGTTGGCGGGTGGGCTGCAGAGGTGCGGGTTCTTGATGAGCCCCTCCGAAGGGGGGGTTCGCGCTATTGGCTGTATTGGCGGTGATGGCGATAATAGCAGTAATAGCCGTGGTGGCGATGACGTGGCTGACCGGCGCAACGGCGCTAACCTTTTCAACGGGGGTGTGCACCAATTCACCGTCGCGAGGTGTGGCCCCCCACAAACACCCCCCACGCTGCATCTAAAGTTCGTGAACAAATCGGACGCACACAACAAGCTCATCGACGCAGCGGAAGGAAGAAACATCACTTCAGAAGGGCAGGTAGTAACAGATGCAGTGCGTCATCCCATGTACAATAAAACGGTGGAAGAATTAATAAAAAAAATTGTCGATTTTGACAAAAAAAGGTTATTCGAAGAAAAGGGGAAAACATTCCAGTGGGTATGCTACGTTTTTTTTGTTTTCTTCACCCAAGTGAAAGAAATAAGCGTGATGCAGTTAAAACGAGTCCTTCCTTCCTTGTGCAAGAAGGTGAAATGTGTCGTCACGCAAATTAGAAAACGTGTCACTTGTTTCGTTACACAGTTGGGGGGGTTATACTCCCCAGTGGGCGAAAGCGAAAGCAACCTTTCGGCAAACACCCCAACACAGAAGACGAGAACGAAATTTTCAATTCTTAATTCTACCCTGGAAGAAGTAAAGAGGGATGACTTCCCTGGCAGCCAAGAGCAACCCGAAGGAGATACAGAAACGGCACTTTCGCTTATGAATCATTTTCTCACAAACTCTGCTGTGAAGGATCAGCAATCAATAAATACCATAAAGCAGTTAATAGAGAAGAGCATCCCTTTGTATGTCCAACCAATATGCAATGACATTTTCGAAGCTTCTTTTAACGACACACAAGTCGACGTGGTTCTATCCTTAAGAATAGGACTCACTGATTATTTGGCTTATACACTTACACGATATCAGAATGGGGAGTCCGTACAGAAAGAAAATCTCCTGCACTTTTTAAAGGATTATTTGAGTTCCCTTTTTTTTTTGTATGATGTTATTCACCCTTTTAACAAGGACGGTATTCAACCTTGGGTTTTGTCCAACGCGGAGGTCTACGAATTTTTTGATTACAGCGATGCGTCTGTGAGGCAGGCGCTGGCTTACTACGGCCGTTCCCTGCAGAGGCACGGCTTCTGACGCAGAGCACAGTGAAGGCTGTGTAGATATATGTGTGTGTGCATGCGCGTATATGTATGTCTGTGTGTATGCGTATATATGTTTCTATGTGTGTGTATTTTTTTTTTTTTTACCCATGCTGAGTTTGCGAACGTGCGCCCCCGGCGACAACAACATCGTCTTGGCGAAGTAACCATCTGTCGTGCTGCACCAACAGACCAAACAAATGCTGCGTTGAGTTCCAGTTTAGGAACCTCCCCCTCACACGTATCATGCGGTCCGCTGTTCCGTGTGGTGGAGCTGTCCGGTGTGGTGCAGTTGTTCCGCGTGAGTTGCACCCTAGGTAGCATTTATCATTTGGCATTTGTTATTTGTCATTTGGCACTTGTCATTTGGCATTTGACATTTGGCATTTGACATTTGGCATTTGACATTTGGCATTTGACATTTGGCATTTGACATTTGGCATTTTTCATTTGTCATCTGTTATTTTCCATTTGGCGCCGGCGGGGTGGGAGACGCAAGAAGTGCTCGCCTTCGTCAAGGAGCGTGCTACCAACTAGAGCGCCGCCAACCAAGGTACTATGATTGAATCACTACTTCTTGGAAAATAATTCGGAATGGTGCTTCCTCCGTTTGGCGGCCTGCGCGACGGTGTTTTCTTCCGCATCCGTTGCCACTTCGTTAGCTGCCCTTCTTTTCGCCCATCGTGAGCTTTCCCTCCCGCGCGACGAGTAGACCCTTCTCAAAACGCATCAGAAAGATGTACACAGGCGCACGGACGCAGGTAGGTAGGGGGAGGGGCGAGTTACCCAGTGAGGTGCACAGGGGCATCCCTCGGCAAAATCCCACCTCATATAAATTTTTCTTCTTCCTCTTAAATGTTCATTGCTGTGTAACAACTGCGCGCAGGGAAGTTCGCATGGGCAAGTTTTATGTGTGTGCGTCGTGTAACGTTCGTGATGCCTCCCGCATGGGTGCGCGTATTTGGCCTTTACTGTTGCCTCCACCTTCGCTTCGTTCTCTTTGCGGTATGCACATGACGCAGCAAGGGGCGCCTCCAAATGTCCATTCGTTGCGTTTGACTTACGCCACTTTATGTTTCCTCCTGCATAGCCGACTTGGCCCGTGCCACACGACACTCCGTGTCTGTGCATACAGTTTTCTTCCCCATCATCCTGACTCCCTCTTGGAGGATTGCTAAACGAGAGGTGATCACATCAAATGAGAAAAAGAAAATCCATCGAAGCATATTGTTACCTCAAATCTAAGAGCACAACTTATGCCCGCGCAAAGAGTTGCCATTCTAATACACCATTTTGGCACGTGAAGTTTTGCAAAAAAAAAAAAAAAGGTGCAGCCATTTTGCTCACAATCTTTTACGCGTGTGGCAAAATTTTCACAAGAATAAAACAAAATCGTTTCATTCCTTTTTAAGCATTTAAAAGGAAGACGAAAAAAAAAAAAGAAAAAAGACCTCCAGTTGGCAACACATGCTTCCTTTTTTCTCCTGGCACTTCCGCACTTTGTCTACGCGAATAAGTAGGCTCTTTCACTCGTTCACTCGTTGAAGCTGTGAAATTGTCACGATTTGCAATTGCAATGTTGCATAGGCTGGTGTGTTATTTCTTCATGCGCTGCTCTGCACCCCCCGCTTTGTGTTCAATATCAATTCAAACGCAATGATGATGACGGAGACGAATGAAAGAAGAAAAACACACAACGAAAATTTTCTTAATGTCGTGAAGCAGTTAATAAGTTAAATATTTTCCCCCCCCTGCCTCCTGCCCATCCATGTGCGCCACTTGATGTCTCTGCACCAATGTGTGCCGACGTCTACTCCATTTGATGCATGTTCACACACCTGTATAGGATGCGGCGTGCGCGTGAACAAAGGAAGGATTCCTTTCCCTTGCCTGAAGCCCTCGTGCTGCGATAAACTGCACGTATAAAGAAGTCGTCTCGTTTGTTCTGTCTGTCAATCGTGTGTTTGTTTGGCCTATTACTTATCCGTTTGTCTGTATCTCATTCGTGTGCTTGTATGTCCGTTTGTTCATCCATCTGTTTGGTGCTTGTTTGTTCACCTGTCTGCCCCGTATTCATTCCTCTCCCACGTGTACGCCTCCAAATATGTAGACCCCCCCACACACGCGTGGAGCTGTCCATCAAGAGCACCGTTCTTACACGCCCCCTTTTGAAGTGCCCTTATTTTTCCGTCGCCCCTCCTCCACTCGCCTGATTACCACCAAGTTCGATTCAACCCCTCGCAGACACAATGTACGTAACGGTAGGCGCCAAGGACATCCTCATAACGGTGAACGATTTTGTCAACAAGGAGTCATCCACATATCAGCTCAGTGACATAAGCAATGAAATGAAAATAAGTGAAATAATTAACAAAATTAAAGTAAAAAAAAATTACACCTATGATAATTCCTCCTTAGTACTCTACTTTGCAAGAGTCGAATGCAAATTGGATGAGAAGCTTTCAACTTACAATAAATCGAATAGAAAAACGATAAAATTGGAGTTATATTTGGCCAAGCTCATTACCATTAATGTGAGGACATTACAATCCTGTGGATCCGGAACTAGCCGGTGCATTCCCTTTTGGTCCTTCTGCTGCAGACAAACAATCAAAATAAAAATAATCGACACGTGTGAAGTTCGCGTGTTGAAGCAGAGAATATACAACCTTACCGATGAGTCCATTTCGTAAGAAAAAAAAAAAAAAAAAGAAAAAAAAAAGAGGACCAAGGAGGAAGGGGGCTCATTTCTCCTACCGAACAAGTCTGTTTGTATGTCTATCTGTCTCTCTATATGTTTGTCTGTCCAATATTCTACGTATCTATCCATGGACAGGTTACACTTATGCAAGTGGAGACACCTCGTCACATTTGCGTAACAATACCCACTTGTGTGTGCGCAAGTGTGTCTTCGCATCCACATGTCGCTTCACTTTACCCGCTTCCCCCCCGACACACACACAAACATTGCAGCATCCCGGTGGAGAACATCGTCCTTCTGTACAAGGGCGCGCCGCTGAACAACTTCCTCACACTGAAAGAATCCGAGCTGGTAGATAACTGTCGAATCGACTACTTCGTGCCCGTTTGCTACGTTTACAAAGAGAAGAAGGCGGAGAAAGCAGACTCAGAGGACGATGACGACGGTGAAGATGATGGGGAAGGCGAAACTGGCGCCATGAGCGGAAATGTTGTGAAAAGCAACAGTGTTGCGAAGAGCAATAGTGTTTCGAGGAGCGAAAGCGCAATCAAGAGAGAGAACAGCGTGAAGGAACCGACGCTGAAGAAGGAACCGACGCTAAAGAAGGAACCGACGCTGAAGAAGGAACCGACGCTGAAGAAGGAACCGACGCCGAAGAAGGAACCGACGCCGAAGAAGGAACCGACGCCGAAGAAGGAATCCACTCCAAAGAGGGGGAACGCACCAAGAAGAGAAAACACTGCCAAAAGTATCAGTGCAGAAAAGGGGCAAAATTCCAAAGCGGGAATGCAAAAACTGAACAGCAGAGGAAATTAAAAATGATTATATTTTTACTTGGCATTAAATGTACACTATGTGGAAGGATAGAGGTGTAAAAAAGCGTTCCTTTGTTTTTCCTTTTTTTTTTTTTTTTATTTCACTGCGACGTATGTGTCTGTGTGTAGGACTGCGAATGAGCAGTCAACATGCGCTATGGATTGAAACGTGGCAGTGCAAGAAGTGAGCTGAAGAATAGTCGGATTATTCCGCATAAATGGGGAAAGCTCATTACCGAGAGAGGGGCCCGTTTCGAGAACGACACGGGGTTATAATTACCCCCTTCCCCCCCGGGTACATCATGCAGACACACACCTAAGCACGCACGTACGTATGTATGCACAATATGGCTGCATAGGGAGTCGAGTAAGACTCAACGTTTAACCCTGCATTTCTTCCTCTCTCTTTCTCTTTCTCTCTCTGTCTCTTTTTTTTGTGTGTTAGGAAAGCGCGGCACTTTGGGTAAAGCTCCGTCGGCACAGCTAAGTTAAATTGTCGTGTTGTTGTGTTTGCCCCCACATAGACGGGTAGGCGCGTGCACACGAGCCTTCCTTTTTTACATGGAAGGGGGCGGACATAAACTCCTGTTGCCGTTTCGCTTTCTAATTGTTTTATGTCACCACTTTGTCATTGGCGTGTTTATCCACTGCCATTAGCCTGTTTCGCCCCTTTGTCTTTCCCTTATCTTATGATTTCACTTCAACATTTTTCATTTGCATTTCATATGAACTTGGATCAATTAGCTAGCCAGCTAGCTTTTTCTGTTTTTTTTTTTTTTTATTCTTGAACTTTTCATTTGTTTTAACCGTTTTTTTAAAAGCGGACGTCTTTAAAATTTTCACCTTAAGCATATTAAAAATGGTAAAATGAGTAATTAACAAAATTGGACAAGTTGCGCAGGACAAAAAGACACAAATGGGGCATGAGCAGAGGGTTTTTTTTTTCTTTTTTGGAGGGAAAGGCACTATCGTGGTAATGTAATTGGTCGTAAAGAGAAGGATAAAGGGAAAAGAAAAAAAAAAAAATTAATTAACGCGAACAACGGGAAGGACCAAATCAGCCCCACTTGAAAACACCCTTGATGATGATTGTCCAGACAATGTCTATGATGACTTCTATGCATATGAGATATATCACAATCCATTCGAGTTTGTATCCGTGCTGGAAGGAATATGAAGATAGGGGGCGCGGATGATGGTGGGGCATAGCCAAAGAAATGAATACACACAAAACGAACATGCATCCACCTATGTCTCTTTTTGTAAAGGCCCAACCTGAATGGTTAACTCGTTTTGCAGCATATCGTACAGGTCTTTAATTATATCTAACCTGCGTAGAGAGAGGTGCCAAGGAACGAAAGGGTCAAATTTTTCTATGACGTGAGGACTACACCATGTGCTCATCCAAAGGGGGTTCCCTCTGCACGGCCACGCCGTCTCTCCAATTGGGAAAAGACCCTCTTACCTATGATTCAAAATTTCGACCCTTTTGGAGATATCCAGATATTTTCTAAAGTGCTCGTACGTTTCGGTAAAGTCGTCGTGGTCCCAAAATATTTCTTAAGGGGGCATAAATAGGAAGGTGCTCATTTTGTTTTACTCCGACTTATGGCTATTTCGCAAGCAGGAAAGACGTGTGCGTGTGTAGATACACATGTGTGGGGAATCACTTGCTTCGTTCAAATGATCCGTCGCAATTGCCTTCCTTTTTTGGATTTCCCTTCTTTCGTGCTGCCTCTCTCTGTGGGTTCTCTCCAACGGGAGTGGCGATCCTCACCTGGGGTGTCCAACATATCCGTGTTCATATTAATATAAAATCTGTTAACAAACAGTTCGCCGATTTTCTTGCTTATGTCATTCTTCTTTAGTTGAATCTTTCCGGTTCTCGCTAGACATTCTATAAGAAGTCGTCAGGTGGAGAATTTGCAGCGCTGTGCTTATTACTCACAGGAGAGGTGCTCACAAATGTATGTAACCTTTTGGAGGGGCTCCTTCTCATGATGTGACAAAACAGTGGGACATACACACCGAGTTGGCGCTTGCGCTTCCCAGCTGGAAATTACCTGGGATGCTCTTTGTCTTATCGATGGTATCGTCTACCACCTTTTCGAAGTAGGACAGTTTTACGCTCTGAGGGGGGGGTAGCGGTACGCGGAAAGCCGTTAGGATTGGGGTTTGGCTCAAAGGTTGGGAAGCTCTACAACTGCAAAACTGTGCGCCCAATCAAAGGACAGTCCTGCAGGCGCGGCACCATGGCGGCGAGCCGCTTAACCTGAGAGAAGGCATACGAATAACTTAACTTCTCAAATATGTCGTTAGTGTAAATATAAATAATGTCATTCTTTATTTTGAAGGAACACCTCTCGACGTTCTTGGCACTTTGGTTATCATTCGAATCATCTGCTTTGTTCATAATGTAGAACATGCTGTCCAGCTCATTGTCGTTTTCGGTGTACGCCTCACTGAGGTAATCCTTCAGGTTGATAAATAGGATCTGAGCGAGGGAGGGTAGAACATCGGGAAAGGGATAGCATTCAGGCGAATGTGCCTTGGGAGAACTTGCCCCAGTGTGGTGTTATGCACAGAGGGGCGTCCTACCCATTTTGTCATTTTTATAATTACACATTAATTCTTTTTTTTGCCATTTTTTTGTGATTTCTTTGCGATTTCTTTGAGATTGTTTTGGGTTTTTCTTTTTTCCGATTTGTTTCCGTTTTTTTTGCGATTTTTTTGCGTCTTTTCCGTTTCTTTCCCCCTCTGCAGCTGGCTCCCTGCCACTGCCCCGGCGTTACCTCCTTCTCCTTTATGCTGAAATCCCACAGCACGATACACCCAAAGCGAAAAAGAAAAAAAGTCTTCTTTTGCGAAAAGGCGGAACAAAAGATGACTTCACTGTACACCTTCTTTATTCTGCAGTTGGGGAAGGGAAGGAAAAATGTGTTCACTAATTCTATCACGGGAGGAAGGAATCATGAGGACACCTGTATAGGTGCCTTCCACACGGTGTGCCCAACTGATATGCGTCTACTGTCTGTTCCTTCGCGAAAAAGCAACCACGCACCAGCGAGTGAGAAGTTTTCTCCCCTTTACTTGATAAATCCGTCGTTTATGTTGTGCGTTTTAAAGTCTTTAATGAATGTTGAAAAACGCTGCCAAGGGGGGACGAAAAAGGGAAAAGAGCGAACAGAGCGATAGTTATAAAAGCATTTACATATAATTTCGCGCGACAGGTGATCACTCCTTCTCTTATCGGTGTGTCTCTACCGACCACTTTAACGACCCCACGCAGGTCACATAAAGTAGCTCTCAATTTTATCTTACGAAATCGGTTCCTATACAGCACGCTATGATGATACCCGTTGGTTCGATATTTTTCTGAACAGAAAGGAAAGCCATGTGTAATCGGTGTTATGTGGTTGGGAGACCTAAAACGATGCTACTCATTTTCGTTAAGTCTACATTTGAGAAGAAACAATCCCTACCTTTTCTTTTAAAATGTCCAGTTCGTTCTGCCTTTCACTTGGTAGGTCAATCTTCTGTCATGCGAGAGGGGAATTTATGTTTAGTTGTCTCATTTTTGGCAAGGAGGTAATTATGTTCCCATGTAACACATATATATATATTTTTTTTTTCCTGTCTAACCTGTTCAGGTGCGTTCCCTACCCCCACCAACGGGGGCTTACGTTTATCTAGGATGTTCTACGAAGGATATGTAGAAGGTACGAATGTGCAACTCTGGCGAAATGAGGTGGCCTAACGATCCTTTCACGTGGGTGCATCACAGATGCGTGCGTTTATTTCTTTATGCAGCCCGTTTTCTCATGACATGATCCACGCCTTTTTTTCCCATGTTTGCCTCTCCCCTCTTGCCGTTTTTACCATATTGTGCTTGAATCGCCTATTTTCTTTCCTGAAATATTTGGAGGATAGTGTATTTTCCTGAGGCAAAAGGGGGAACAATTTTCCAGACAGGGAAAATTGAGAAGGTTGCCCGTTAGGACTGACATGGGAGCCACATTAAAAAAGAAACGGTGTATGATGTGCTTTCCCCGATGGTGTCCCTCTTTGGGCGCTAATTCTCGGGCATAGCGGAGGTTACATTTTCCGATGAGGAATTCCTTTGCCTATTGTGCATTCCTTCTTGGTTGGAAATTTCTTCTTCTTCTCCTTCTCGTCGTCGTCTTCCTCCTCCTTCCCCCTTCTTCGGTTGATCATTAAAAAGAACGTACATGTTGACACCTCGAGCGTGTAATACGTCGATGTCACACAGAGGACACGCCCCGCCGATGAAGTAAAATAGATTTTGTCCTGCCTTGAGAAACGTCGTAGACTTCTATGGGCTTATGCCAACATGTAGGTGGACCTCTACATAAAGGGAAATGACTATTTTGCGATAAAGAAAAAAAAAAAAGGTCTACAGTGATGTGCAAAAATGAAATTGTATTCCTTTGTCCGAATGGTTAATGGTTCCTTTTTTCTTTTGCTTTTTTTTTTTTTAAAGCAAAACAAATGCAAAAAAAAAGAAAAAAATTGCCGCTCGGGGGGATCCCACCTCCAAGGGATGTGGCGAGTGGGAAAATGAACGTGCCTTTTTGCCGCCCTTTCTTCTGCCTCCCTCTTTTTGGCCGCTTCTTTTTGTGAAGTCTTTCCCCCGGGGTAGCAAAATCGAGAGGCGTATTCTCCGCTTCTCTAAGGTTCCACCACCTGAAAAAGAGGTTCCGCCAATCCAGGTTTATTTCCCTTCCACACGGTCAAGCTGCATTAACCAACGGATAACATCACATAGTGCTCACGTAACAGGCGCATACGCGATCCTCATCAAGGCTTAAATGAACGACACCACGGTGAAGGCATCCCCCTACAGAGGCGCGCACCGAAATTTTCCCGACACAGTTGAGAACCCCTCACACAGGAAGGCTGCACACACAGCGGTGACGATTTTTGAAAACTTTACAAGACAACGCAGATCAGACGTTATCATGCAGGTGGACAGGAAAAAATGAAAACAAGGCGCTGCCACTGATGCGGCCTCCGTAGCAGCCGCTATCGCCACCGCCGCAAAATTCATGCAGCGCGTTATGCAAAATGAAAGGCAAAAAATAAAAGCGCAAAAGGACCAAGTTGTGTGGCGATGTACAGCGACGTAGAATAATCATCCCGACGCGCAAACGGGGAGAAGCCAAAATGATACACAAGAACGTATTTGCGTGGAAAAGAAACTGAAAATTTTCTTCCTGCCGCGTAATGTGTCGCCCAGTTTGGGAAGCAACAAAAATGCGCACAGAGCAAATCTCCGTGTTCTATCTCATTGCATAATTAACTGGCGTCCACAGTCACATCTAAAAAGCGAGTTGTTGTGCTCCCCAACACATACCCCTCCTTCCTCACAGCGCCAACCTCGTGGGAGAAGAAAACTTCCTCCGGGTGCCACCGTCATTCCTGCATAGCAGGAACATGCCCGCGTACCTCTTCGCCCCCCTTCCGCCCACTTTGTGGACACAGTACTTGGTCTTCATCGGGCAAGGAGACACGTCAATACGCCCCATTTCATTGTCAAAGGAGAAGGAAAACCCGAGGAATATGTTATCGTATTTATTTTTGTGAACATCCGAACAAACACCCTGCACATCTGTCATCGCTTTCGACTCTTCAATGTATGTCACCTGCAATGAGCTCGTGCTGTGAAACGATAGCGGGGCGCAGAACCCCCACAGTAGGTAATCAGAATTGGCCTTGGTATGACTAATTGCACATTTGGATTCACCGACGGGGCATGCCTTCACTTTCACGCTGGAAAAATTTTTATCTTTTTCCAACTTCATCTTAAACCCGAAGGCTATGCTACTTCCCTCTGAGCACTTACCCTCTAGCGATGTTTCCCCTGATGCGTCACCCCCATTTGCATGAAACGTTTCGAATTTCACAAAACTGTACTTCACGCAATAGAGCCATCCGAAGGAAATAACAGAATCGCTTTCATTTATGTGGGAGCATGAAATGTCGTACTCTGCCTTGTTGAGGCAGGGGTACACACGGATCTTCGCTGCGTCTCTTCCGTTGGTTGTGTCTTTTCCATCGGCTGCGTCTCTTCCCTTAGCTGCTTCTCTTCCCTTGGCTGCGTCTCTTCCCTTCGATGCTCCTCTCCTCTTGGTTGCGTCTCTTCCCTTGGCTCTATCCCCCTTTGCCCTCTCGGACGTGTCATAGGTGAGGATAAACCCAGTACTCTTAACATATCCAACAGGGCAACTTAAAACGAGCGAACCTTTGGCCGATCCTGTTATTTGCTTCCCATCAGCGAGCACATCTGTAATGTCTTGTGAGAGGTAGTACTTTTCCTTGTCCATGCCGTAGAGGCTGTTGTAGTAAATCAGCGCCTTATCGTATGATTCCTTTTTTTCCATACGCATGAAGGAGCTCAATGAAATTAAGTCTAGGTGAACTGGAAGCAGGTTGGTATAAATTGATTCCTTCCAGACTGTGTACGTCAGTTGGTTCCACCCGTCGTACGTTTGGTTTCCCCCGCGGATGTCCAGGCTGGGGGGTTTCTCGCCCAGGGCGTCCTCCCGCGTGGGGGGAGGCTCGTTAAGCGGATCATCAGTTAGCTGGTTATGCTGCTGCTTAAAAATATGGTCTCCAGCGCTATCTACGCTTCCTTCTGTACCCCCCCGTTTGGGACCCCGCTGCAGCAGCCATACCGCCTTAAATACGTCCAAGTTGGGGACGTTCCCGAGGGCGTACTTATAGCTGTATATCTTCGCCTCTTCCATCGTGCGCCCAGAAACTTCCAACGAGTTAAAGGATCGCCCCCCAAAGTGCGCAGACACAACTAAGTGGGTTCCATATTTCTGGAAAAAATCAATCCACGTTTTTATGCTTCCTGCGCACTGTTCGTTCGTAGCACTGTGCAGGTCACTCCTATCCAGGCATTCCTGTTCATTCGCCTTCTTTTCCAAAATGGGCAATTTCTCTGTCTCCCGTAAGAACTCTCTACTAATATGCGTAGTGGAATCTCTTAAGTTGTACGTTACGTATTTGTGCACACAGCTGTTCTGTGCAACTAGGTATTTCTTTCTTCCTATTTCTAATTCGGAAAAGTAGTTTCTGTATGGCATGGAGGCAGAAAAGGGAATTATACTGGTATTCAAATCTTCAACGTTTATATTATCCATGGCTAAGTGAGTAACATTATTGATCCCTTCGAGGAAGCTGAAATATTCGTCTCGATGACAGGCAATTTGGCTGATGATGTCCAGAGAATTTCTCGTGTCAAATATTTCTTTTCTAAATCCTGGGTCTTCCACAAGCTCGTTGTTTGGCAGTGGGTAGCCGAACAGGATGTCGTACCCCTTCCCTATGTACTTGCTGAACGGTTCATCCGTACCGCGGTCGATGGGGTAACTGGGCTTGTTGGGGTCACTCCGGTTGTTGGGGGTGCTGATCCTCTCGCTTTTCCCACTGACGCCGCTCTTTCGGTCTCTACACAAGGTGAGGAGCAAAAAGACCCACACACATAACCGTTTCGTCGACAAATGGTTAATCATTTTGAAAGCGCTTTTTGTCACAACATTGAGAGAGCTGAGGAGGCTTACCCCCGTGTGCGTAGAAGTAAAGCAAATAATAGAGTAAAAGTGATGAACGCCCACAAAAAGGCTACCCCATAACAGGTTAAAATTAAAACGTGATAAAATATACTTCAAAAAAACTATAACATGGAGCATTCAACAGTTACAACGGCAAGACGGGGACAGACACGCTTGGTATCCCCAGTTATATTAACTCGAACATGGCGTAAAAAATGAAACAAAAAAAATGAATTAAAAAACAAACAAAATAAAATGTGTCAACCAAAAAAATGTAATTTCCATTTATATAGAACTTTCCCCTTAACTTGGAGAGAAAGAAAAAAAAAATGCCTCGCTAAATTGAGTGCACAGAACGTTGCCTTATATGGCGTCTACTTTAGGGAAAAAAGCAGCTAGCCAAAAAAATATATTCTGACTGTTAATAAAAAAAAAAAAAATTGCACACGCTTATGCACGTCAAAATGGCTAGCTGTGTGTGCGTCTTTACAACCAGTTCGATTACGCGCGAAGGGGTGGAAACAATTAAATAGGATCCGCTCCCCCTCTCGAAATGGCCACTCCGCTTTTTTACAAATCCAGCAAGGTAACAAAAAAGCGCCTTTTCTCCCCTGGATGTATATTTTCCCATATGTGGGCCGGCACCAAATATACCCTGTCAAAAAAGAGCTTGAAGTACTGCAGCTGTGCTATGGCCACCTTCGTCAGGCGCTTCTCTTTAAGCAGGTTGGTCGCGGAAGGGGGATTCAGGCCAGTGTACAATTCTCCCACCGTGGTGTAGTAGTAATTTTGGGTTCCAAATAAGATGGCTACTTTGCCTCTCCTCTGAGTACGTTTCGCAAATATGTAGTGAATGTAAAGAAAAACAGAATTGCCCTTGGCATTTTTAACAAGCTTAAACTTGTAATCCGTTTGAGGTAGGTCTTTCAAAACTTGGTACATTTCGTTTAGCGATTTTTGGTGATACGAAAATTCTCTCCTGATGTGTTCACTTTGGCTAAGTTGGCTTTTCTCCTCCCGAGCGGGCCCCACAAAATAGGTGGACAGAAAATATCGGTTCATTTGGACATGCTTCAAGAGCGCTTTATTCACATGTGGATAATACATCAGGGGAAACAACTTCTTAAGCGCGTTTATACCGTCGTTATGGTGGGACTCCCTCACCGCGTCAATTTCGTCGAAAAAAAGGCGCTTCATATGTTCCCCGCACAAGTTGTAAAAATTTTCCACTTGGTCTCTTGAGCGGTGATATATCCACTCGGTGAGGAACGTTCGTATGATCATCACGTAGATGTCTACCCCCATTCCGTTTTTCACTTCGTCCGTGTTGTCTTTTTTGCCATCTGGTTCCCGGTACGTCGTTGTAACACTTTTTTCGATCGATGCATTGATCCAGTCCCCCTGGGGTGATAAATTGTAACTCTTTTTCGAGTGGGTGTGCCCCTTAGTGAGGGCATCCCCCTTCTCTTCGTACCATTTCGATTCTTCATCCTCGGTTCCCCCAATCAAGGATAAATCCAGAAAGGAAAAAAAATCGCTTATACACTTGTGAAGCCGGGTGGCAGAAGCCTCCCCATAGTTGTCATTAATCAGCACGAAGTAGCAGCAACAGTAGGTCATACATTTGACTTCTTCCGGGTGCATATTTTTGTATCCACTTTGAAGGACGAACATGCTCTCCAAACAGTTATGCGTCAGTTGGGGGTACCTCACTGACATGAAGTTTGTAATGTGAATAATTTCATAGAGGTTCCTCAAGGTTACCTGCTTGGTGGTCTGTAGATGCGATTCACCCATGAAAGTGCCTTGCGAAGAGCTCTCCGACGAGTGAGACGAAATGAATTTCTCCAACTTAACATTTAACAAGTGAAGAATTGGATGGCTTATCAAATTCTGGTGAGCGAAAATTTTCAAAAGGGTTACCAAATGGAGCATACTAAGACTTGACGCAAAAAGTAAAATGTGCTTATTTGCGAAGAGAATAAAATAACTTGAGAATGGCGTAAAATTGTTTATAAAAAATATCAGCTTGGTGAAATCGTTGGCAGTATATGTCGAGATCGTTCGCGGCAGGGTGACTAACAATTTGGTGAGCAACCTATCATCCACATGGTTGAAATAAGACAAGCTATTTAAGCAGTCCATCAGGGTACTCGTTTTGTACTGACTTAAATTCTTCCTAATATTGCCAACCAACACTTCAAATAAACAACTGTTGTAGTAGCTCATATTTTGCAACGATTTCAAAATGGAGCTTATTTCCAGCGGTCGCAAAGATCCCCCTCGCGCAATTGCCACGCTGAAGAGATTCTTACACAGACTTATATCGTTATAACAATATTTTGATAAAATAAAAATATGCTTATGGATGTCTTTTCCTAAATGGGTTAACTTCCCATTTGGTAGGAACGTATCCATTGTGCTTAGTCCCCTCTTGGCTTCTCCCTTGTTGAACGCACCTTCGTAATGAGCAAAGTGATTACGTTCCTCCTTTTGCAACTTCTCTGCACTTGCCACATTTCTGTAAAACTCGGCGATGAAATTGAAAACAGATTCGTTGCGTAAATTGTTCCTCGCCAGAAAATATGCAACGGCAAAGTAGTCACTACATTTAAACGCTTCCACATTTTTGCAAATGAACTGCTGGATCATTTCTTCGAAGCAATTTGGCATTATTAGCGGTACTGTCAAGGTGTCCACAAGGAGGAGAAATTCATTTAGTGTCATTTTGGGGGATGTTCCCTCGCTACTCAGTCTGATCATAATGTGTACCATTAGGAAGGGGGTCAGAAAGTTATTTTCCTTGTAGGCGTGTAAGACATATATTAACTCCTTCACTTGATAGCTACTCATCCTCGAGACAATGCGAAACATGAGGACACTTAAGATGTAGTATTTGGCCTTGTTGTTACGAAGAAGGTAGCTATTTAGATATGATAAGACTTCTTCCTTCTCTTTCAGCATGATGACATTTTTTACATTTTTGTATCTCATCAATTGCTTACAATCCAGTTGCTCAATTTGTAGGTTCAGTTTGGACAGCATTACTTTGTTGGCACTTTCAAGCGCCATGTGCTTCTGCAGTTTGGTCGCTTTTCTTGACAGGGGGGACACTTCCTCAGTGGGATTTCCATCCGTTGAATTGCGTGAAGCTGCGCGTTCCGTTCTTCCGCCTATTGCGTTTGTGCGGGGGGCCGTAGTGCACACGCCACACGGTCTTGCGGCATCACTTATGTGCCTCCCCCAACTGGACACGCCAACACTACGTAGCCATCTGTAAACGACCAAGGCTGGGCTCTTTCTCGCGGAGGCCATTGTTAAGCAGAACCCAGGCAGCAGTTCCTCCACGTTGTTTGGGGCTTTCCCCCTTCTGCTTCCTCACTGGGGGGGCACAATACACATGTGTATCTGCATGGGTAGCTCCATGAGTAGCCGCATGAGTAGCTCCATCTGTATATGCGCACCTCCCCCCCAACGTGATCCCTTACACAGATATTATACACATCAAATGAAGCCAAATGGGATCTTAAAGCGGCCAACCGCGTGGCACCCCTTGACTACCTCCCTTAACCTCACACAACTGCGCATGGGAAAAAAGGTAAGTGAAAAGAATCCTACCACTTGCAGGCATATGCTCACAAGGGAGTATGCTCCGAAGAATGCTCCCACTGGTGCGAAGAATTACTGCCTGTGCAGCGTAGCGTTAAGCATCAGTGGAGTATCTCCACAGACTTACTCGGACCTGAAAGTTTCCTCATGAACAGAAAGTATGGGTCGCTTGGTGCTTCATCACATATTTGTAATTTCTTCCATTAGGGTTAGGGGCTGCGAAAAGTTTGGTGCTGCCCTCCGATTATTTTCTCCTTACAGTGAATCTACCTACAGTTAAATCGTCACACAAAAAAGAAAAAAAAAAATTTAACGTCGATTGCGCATTTCCCCCAATGCAACGTCAACTATAGTGTAGTTCACCCAGCTGGAGCAGTCGATCAACAAGTAATGCAATAAGTGAAACGGCTTTCTTTCCCCGAAACAGATATACCCTGTCAGTAATGCTTCTTTCTTTTTTTTTCTTTCTTCTGTAGCCCCTTTTGTTTCTCCCATGTGTGGAAAGGATTCACCATTTCGGTGATTCCCAGCGAATGAGGAAAATGAGGTACCCCGTTTTGGCACCTCAAGGATGCAGCCCTTCTGTGTGTTCCCCCAGCGTGGGAAAAGAGGCAACTGAAGAGATTGACGCGATTGACCCGACTAGGAGCGCGAGGTATTGCAGAGGCCCCTCCAGCGTTGTCTACGCGTAACATTTCCTTCCCGCAGCTGAGTATTTGTGCACCCAGCAGAGTGCAAGACGGCCCATTGGAAAAGGGACAATTGCAAAACTGCGAAGATGGATTTACTCCGTTTTGTGTGCGCTGTGCAAAATTTAGGAGAGGGAAAGCTGCATAAAACACGTCAAAAACGCGCACAAATGGGGTTAACTAATGGGGTTAATAAATGTAGTTAACAAATCGGGTTAACAAATGGGTGCCCATGGTACTTACATACACGCTAGCGTCTTCAAGTCGAGGGGGGTATCAATCGGGTTTAGTTACCACGCAATGTACAGTCGACGTGGTCATTGAGGATTGTTCCCTGCCTCATACGGGGGAAAATTCCAACCAAGCAATGCAAAAGGAAGGAAAAAAAAAAACGATCATACGGAGAAACATCGCGAGCACACAAGCGAAACTTCCACACGATCACTTGTGCAGCAAGAAGTTACGAACATCATGTGAGTACCGGCAACGAAACAGGGCAAAAAATCGAGAAGAAAAAAGTAAAAAAAAAAAAAAAGACATTACAGAAAATATCATCTAAGATGATCAGCGAAACGGGAAGCAGTCCATTGTATACTAAACGCATAACGGCACACCGCGTCGCCTTCCCCCACCACTTCTAGAGCGACGAACAGACGATGAAAATGATCGGGACGTGCACCTCCTGGCTACGCACCTGCTGAACGCGAATCTTCAACTCGCAGGCGGAACTTCCGACGGGACATATCAGATAATCATCCATACTCGACGCAGTGTAATCGACTGCGAACCCCGCAATGATAAACTTCCCCCGCGAGCACTCCAACCTAACCAAGGTATTGTCATTTAAGTGCATTTTTTTGCTAAACGATTTGGACTCCAACGTTTCCAGTAGTAGCCGCTTATTACTAGGCAGACAGTTAACCCAAAGAAATCCGTGCGAATTTTCACCCACCTTGGGGGGAAGCCCACAAGACGCTACATTGCTTCTACACGGTTCGATGTTCATGCTCGTGTGGACGCCCTTCTGCATTGTTAAGGAAAAACCAAATCCTATTTTCATCTTCGAGGGACATGTAATTATGGTACTATTCCCCTGAACTAGCTTTTTCATCTGGTGTATTTCTTGCAGGTTTTCGCGACTACATAGAACCCATCCGAATTCAAAACTTTTGTCTGATTCGATGTTTATGCCACTGGAACATTCTCCAGATAGTGGACACACGTGCATCACGTTATTATCATCGTAAAGCCTTTTCTTATTTGTAATGATGAACCCGCTGAGGATTTTCTCCCCCGTCTTACACTTAGGCGTAACATTGAAATTTGTATTTTTGTCTATATATTGGTTCCACCTCTTTATGTGCATCTTGTACAGATCCTGTTCGCTTCGGTTCAACTGAAAGGGGTATGGATTGTAGGTAGCATAAGTCAAATTTGAGTAGAACTCCAAGGCCTTATAGTACGCATGTCTTCCATCAGCCGATGCTATAAAATCGGAGAAGGGTATCAAAATTAGCTTTAAAGGCTTTGCAGAACTTCCTTTGATAGAATTTTTCCATTCCTTGTGCGAAATGTTTGTTATTCCGTTTTTTCTTCTGTGAGGATTGTCTTCACCGGTTTGCGCGGGGGATGACACTTCGGCTTCGCCACCCCCTTCCACCATGACGATTCGTTCAGCTATATGCCTGACTTTTTCACTCGATATAACCGAGCCGAAGAACAAAATACCACGGTGGTGCCCTCCTCTTCTCGCACCGCGAAATGGGTTCAACCGTTTCGTGTACAGTCGAATCTTTCTATCACCCTTTGTGACGTAGTCATTCTCTATGAACAAATTATTTATCACCCTCCCTCCGTAGTAAACCCCCGATATGAAGTGCGTTCCATACAAATTGAAGAAGGTCATCCAGGGCGTAACCGTTTTAAGGCAGTCTTCGCTATATTTATTATTCCTGTAAGATTGCAGATCGCATTTGTACTTGTCCCCCCCGATATTTTGGTAATTCTTCCCGAGTTCATCCAACATGTTTAGAAAGAACGGCTCCAACATATCGTCTCTTCTTTCCGATAAAGAGACCAAATACTTTACACAAATTTCCTTCTTCAGGATTATGGAATCTCCCTTGTTAATTCTTCCGACCAGCATCTTGTAATAATTGGATGCATTAAAAGGGTGAATATCATACTGGTCTTCCGATTTGTAACTTTTATATTCCTTATTGATGTCTTCTAATCCGTTAATTATGTGTATCTCCTTACCGCTCGAGCATTTCACGTTCGTCCGCTTGGAGGCTGTGTAAGACAAGCTATCCTGATGCCCCCTTTGATCCTCTCTTAAAGAGTGCTCACTTTCTTCACCTTCCTTGTCATTCCCTGTGCTTAGCTTATTCCTTAGGACATACCTTCTATACCCCATGTCTACCGCGTATAGAGGATCTCCCAACGGGTTTCCCCTAATAATGTCGTACGTCATTCCTAGGTAATTTATTAAGTGTTCCTTTTCTGAGGTGTCAACATTATGAGTGTATAAACGAGGGTTAAACAGGTCTTCACTTTTTGAAATGCAGCCCACCGACAGGCGAAGCATCAGTGCGCACGCGCAAATGGCGTAGCATTTCAGCCCCATATTTGCGAAGGTGTGTGCTTTGGCATGTAAAAAAAATGCCTCAGCGAGGTTGCTTAACAGGGATACTTAGCAGGGTTGCTTAATAGGGTTATTAACAGGGCTATTTAACGGGGTAACTTAACGAGCTTATTTTTTCCCTAATTCTTATTCAACCGAGCATGAATGTTCAAAATAAAGGTGAGGTCCGGGCTAGCCGCTGCACACAAAAGGTCTTTTTCGGACTCCTTCTATTTTCTAAGAAACGGCTTAAATTTTCCAAATTATGAGCAAACCAACGCGCAAAAGGAAGCTCATGGGTTGAAATATGCGACACGATACGATGGTGCAACTTGAGAGTTGTTAACTGGACCAGTTGCAAGCGATATACATGCTCTCGTTTTGTTTCGACAACCAAACCGGTTTACACTGATAGCAGTGTCAATGCCGGTTGTTTAAAGATAAAGTGGGGGTATTGACCGGACAACAAAAAAAAAAAAAAAAACTCATGCATGTTAACTATGCACCATAACATATGTAAAATCTGTGAGAAAAATTAAAGGGGTGCAAAACGACATCATACGAAAAAACAAAAATGCCAAGGGTGACAAACAACAAATGAAAAAATAGAAGGATAAAATGAGCAACAGAATCGCATAAGGTTTGTGTGCTACTTGGCGTGTACAAAATTGTCTACATGCACGGATGTAACCATTCATACCTTCTTGCACACATAAGTGAATTCTCACATTTACATATTTTGTGCCGCTTCCCATTTTTTCTATTTTTTTAGCTAGCCAAAATGGGAAAACTGAAGCATAAAAAAAAAAAAAATTCCCCAACTAGCCTTTTTAAGGGCTCCATGTTGGCATATTTTTACAACCAAATTCTTAAACGCCTGAACGGGTCAGCCCAAAGCGTCATAATGTTAAAAAATAAAAAAAAAAGTACACAACACTGCAAAAACATAGCTTACACGGCTACATCCCTCACTGCGCCAATTCGCGTGCTACACTATGCATACGCGCAGTAAAGTCCTCAGTGGTCCACAGAATCATTCAGGGGTAGGTTGCGCAAAATGGGAAGTTGCCTTTTCTTGCCATCTGAAGGATCACTTCTGATTTGTCATCGAGTATATAACTGAAAAAAAAGAAAGGGGAAGCAACAAACATTTTGCATTTCGCAATCTATGCACTTATGCGCATATTTGCCAACATAGGGGTACAACAATAAAGTGTGTACGGCGTCTGACACCCCCCTTTTGGGTAAACAGCTGACACAGCGCTTATATGCGGCATTTTCTCTCGAAGCGCCAACTTTTCTCTCCGCGTGAATGGAGAAAATTTTTGCGTACCTTTGTCCTGATCGACAATTTTAAAAATCTTGAAGCTAACGCGTGGTCCTACTTCCACCATTTCGTTTTCTTCCTCCTTTTTAGCACTATTCAGGTCCATTTGGTTGGATAAAAAATTGTACATGTTGTTATACTCCCCCAGGTCATCATTACGGTACGCATCATTTATTATTTCCTTAACCGATCTTTGTCTTAAATTTGTTACATACTGGCGAAAGTAGATAGTTTCATCGGCGCTGTTGTAACTGTATAGCATGACTCTCTTAGGTTTGTGCTCGCCGTCCGCTCTGAGATTTATATTGGGGAACAAATTTTTCAGTATATTTTGTGTAATGATTAAATAATTTAGCATCTCTGGATTTGCACAATTATTGAAATTTTTCAAAATGAGTAAAGGCTTAAATTTGTTGAAATTGTGAAATGCAAATTTTGGACTTTTAGACCTAACCACGGATGCATTGGTGAAACTGTGAATGATAAATGTTAAAGTCAGCTTGGTGTAATTGCTCGTAATATTATACATCAATTTTTGGTTGCTTATGTGTATGCTAATTGTATATTTATAGCATAACTCCTTGAGTTTTTTCTTCAATTCGGTCAAATTTTTTAATTTGTTTATGTATATAGTTACCGAATATGGGGAGAACACTTCAGCTAAATCTCGACATAGTGATTTGAAGACGGAGTTCATTCCACTTTTCTTAATTGCAATTATGTTTGTTTTTTGGACAATTTCTTCTTCATGTTGCTTTGCAGTCTTTGGTTTACTCTCCTTTGCTTTTGTATTTTTGCTGCCTTCTTTTTTTACCCCCCGTTTGAATTTTTTCCCCTTTTTCGCCGTCACCATGTTGTTGCTCTCACTTTTGCTTTAGCTCCTACGTTTTATAAGGTTTTGGTACTCTCGGATGGAAGTTTAGTACGTCATGCGAAGGCATCTCATACGGGCATGCGCATGGGCGTGAGGGCAGGTACCACTATCTGTGCATACTTCCATGCGTATTTTCCGCGTCATGCAGCAGTGGGTATGAGCAGCATTATCTTAAATGGTTGTTCCACAAGAACTCATCCCATTGATGAGAAAAAAAAAAACTTCACAAATTAGCAGAAGTTTTCTAATAAAAAAACGGCTTTAAACTTATTCTTTGCTGCAAATTTGCCAGTTTTGCAAATAGAGAAAAGTATAAAAATATGCGCGGAAAAGTGGCATGCTGTTATATTTTTCCTTTCCCGCGAACCTTTCTTATGAGAAAATTAAAAATTTCCGCTTTTATGCAACGGTAGAAGTTTTTATATAGGCTTACCATTTGGCGAAATTTTTTTTTTTTTTGCCCTTCGTTTCCCTCGTAAAAATATTTTCGTAAACTGGGGGTTGGGCCACGTAATTAACAACACGGCACCGTGTAGGCACAACGCGTGCAATGTAGCATATGTCCATTTTAAGGGGAGGAAAAAAAAAGGAAAGAATGGCAAAGAAGGACGCATCCTCTATAAGTGTTCGCAAAGCACCAATTTGAAGTGACGCATACGTGTGACGAATTGTTCGGGAAATGAAAAGGTTCACCTTGAAGGACGATCTCCTAAGTGAATATGTTATTTCCTTTTTTTTCCTTGTTTTCCTTTTTTGCCCTTTTTTTTTCCCATGAACTTCTCCCCATTCGGATGGTGAACCTGTTCAACGCAGGGCACAAAACATAACACTGCTGGGATGGTTCTGTACATGTGACACGCGAGTCAACTGACAAGGAAGAGGAAAAGAGGATTGTCTGCATGAGGGCTAACTCGACGGGGAGCGACTCTGTTAGGGCCGACTGAATGAGGACGGCTTGGCATTGTAAAAAGTGCGCAGCGCTCCCCACCCTTTGGGGGAACTCTTTCACACATATGGGACTAGGAGAGCACAGATAAAGGCGCGCTACTGAAACGGCTTCCGTGCCCAACGTATCATGCCACCCCCGTAAACACAGAACAGAAAAAAAAAGGAATGGTTATTCTTCATGAACCGCTTGGCTAAAACACCCCAAAGAAAAGAGCAAACAAAATAAAGCCCCCCCCTACGTAATGCCAACAAGGAAATTACGTCAAGCGGTTTATGCGCATGATCGGAGATAGATTGACCCCCCCGAGTGGCAAAAATGATTTTGGAGATCGTCCCCCTGTACAGTCATAAGTTTTACAGCACATTGCTGATAATTAAAGACGTGGATGCTTCCAACAAGGGCTGCAAGTTGAGTGATCTTTTGCAGGATGGCGATAAGGAAGAAAAGATGAGTGGAGAACCCAGCGGGGAGGAAATTGAAGAGGACGCTGAGGAACAACCCAGAGAAGAGTCCCCTGCCCCCAAAGGCCATGAAAGGAGCAACGATAAGGGGGACCCTCTTATGAGGAAGACCTATAATTATGACTACCTAAACAACAAGAAGGATTTTTACGCAAAGGAGAAAGATAAGAATATTTATGTCCTTATAAATTGCGGGTGGGACGATCAGTTCCTCCTGGAAGACGTGAAGAACGTGTTGCGGTAAGGAGGACACGGATTCACGTGCGTTGAGAAATCTTATAACTGTTCACGTATCACCTGTTACGTGGAGGTGGAGCGTGGGTGCTGGTCAGTCCGCGCCAAGCCAGGTCAAGCCACGTCATACCACCACGTGACGGGATTTTTTTCACAACTTGTGCGTAATTTGTTCGTAATTTGTTCGTAATTTTTTTTCAATTTTTTTGCAATTTTTTGCAATTTTTTTGCAATTGCTCTTTCCTTTTTTTTGCTCCCCCGCCTGTAGGGTGTGCGAATATGTAGACGTCCTGCTAATCACGAATCACGGCCTCAACTTCGTGGGGTGCGCACCGCTGGTTTTCCAGGAGCTACAGAAGAGGAAGAGGAAAATCCCCATCATATGCCACGAATCTGTTAAGGCGTACAGCAAATACATCCTCCTGAGTTATTTCAAATGTAGGAGCAGTTGCAAATTTTTTGAATCCTTTAAAGATGACGAATATTTCAAAATCGTGAACGAGCTCTTCTACAATGTGACTTCGTTGGAATTCAGAGAACACTACACCTTTAAGAAGATGATATGTCAAAAATGGAACACAGTTTGTGTGCTTCCAATATATTTTGTAAATAATGGAGACAACATAGGATCGTCTGCAGTGATTATAAAATTTTTTAATTCCAAAATATTGTACTCTGTGAATTCCCACATGTCTGATTATTCCTTCATCGAAAAATCGGACGTGGTGAAACAGTCCAATGTGTTCACTTACATTGGCAACTTTCGCTACACAAATAAGAATTACACCAAGATGATGGACATGAAGACAATCTTAGGCATCGTCAACAGAACTATGAACAACCTCGGATGTGTACTGCTCCCCGTGGATATCGACAGTGAGGATACATAGAGAGGAGGAGGGGGACCATCCTTCAGGGGAGGAAAAATACGAAGTTGTTGGAGCACATCGCTGCCCCGTCAGCAAGTGTAGAAGGAGACACAGTGCCTACGTCCCCTTTGGGTGTGGACCGTTTGCTCATTTCATGCAGAGCAGTAGCATAATTGAACCTCTTTATATTTATCTCCCCATTTGGTGCCAAATCGAACCCCCTTCGCTTCCCTCCCCGCAGGCGTTTTCCTGGATCTCCTGTTCCACATCAACGCCCTCCTGGAGGTCAGCATGCAGAGATACGCCCTCCTGTTCCTCTGCCCCTATTCGTAAGAAGAGCGACGAAAAAATTGCCAACTGTTACCCCGAGGGTATTATTCCCCGGAATTGCTCTCACCTGTGCGCTTCTCACTCGGCTACTTCTCACCCCCAACAGGGAAAACTTCACCAGGCTGCTGTTCGCTTCGCTGACCTACCTGAACAGCCACATAAAAAACAATTTCCACAGAAACAGAGTAAATATTTTCAAAATGAAGAATCTGGTGTGTATAAACGACTACAGCGATTTTAAGAAGTACGAAAATGGGTATTACATTTTGTTTTCCTTCCCAGCCTCTCTGAACAACGACACGGTGAAGAAGATCCTGTCAACGTTTCTCACGAAGAGGAAGAACGCATTAATATTCACCAAGAGGTACTATGCTCCGAGCTTTTCGCACAAAGTGTGTAGTCATTATTTTACCCATAGAGATCAAAGGAGCAAACCAGAGCTATCCTTCCGCTTCAGTCAACATGTAAAAGTGGGTGACGACAAATTATATCAAATTTATTTAAAAGAAAAAAACAACATCGAGAAGGACGTCGTGATGAGCAAAGCAGTTGGTAAAAGGGTTAAGAAGAAGAAGGTGAGAAAAAAAAAAAAAAAAAAAAAAAATTTCATTTTCGAGTCACAAGAAGAGATGAAGTACATAAAAAGGGAGTGTCACATAATCGGGAGGACAGACAGAGACGGAATGGGCAAGCTGAAGCGGGATGGCAATACTGATGGGCAACTTATAAAGAAGGAGAAGTACAACCTGGAGAGAAGCCTTGGCGCCCACGCGGAGGAGGGCAACGAGGAAGACATTGAGGAGGAAGAGGGGGATGACGAGGGGGATGAAGAGATGGATGAAGAGATGGATGAAGAGTTGGATGAAGAGGTGGGTGACGAGGGGGATGACTATGACGAGAATGACATCGACGACGATGACGACCACTATGGCGATGATGACGATGACGAAGATGACGACTATGACGATGATGACGACGATGACGACTATGACGACGATGACGACTATGACGACGATGACGACTATGACGATGATGATGACTACCGCCCTGACGATCCGCAGAACTACAACGCGTATTACCACTCAGACGAAGAGGAAGAACAAGAAGGAGCGGGGGAGGATCCCCAAGTTCCCGGCGAGCTGTACAGGCATAGCGACAGCAATGCCAGTGACGGTGCGATCGAGAAGCATAGAGATGCGAAGCCAAGCGCCAACCACCAGAGGGAGAAACATGAAGGTGCTTCCCGTAGCGATCGCGATGAGAACTACTCGGAGGACGGAATGGAACCCTCCAAAGGAAAAACAGGAAAGGGAAGAGTCACCATAAAGGAGGAAAAAATAAACAACAATAAGGAGAATAACAACGATAGCAACACTAGCGACAATGAGCATACTAAAATATCCAACCACCTCCTAAAAAATGCACAGTCCGATGATCCAGAAAACACGTACTATCCTCATCTACACAAAATTACTAATGTTAAAAAGGACGCAAAAAAAAAGGTAAGAATAAAAGAAGAACCTCAACCCACTGATGATGAAATGTATCAACATGAGAGTTATACGATCAGGCATCCCCTTTCGAAACAAAGAAACCAGAAAAGTATCACGACAACGTTTATAAAAAATGAGCAGAGCTTTACAAGTGAACATGAGGAGGATCCACCCCAGAGTGACGAACAAAACAGTGCCACAAACGATGAGCGGAAGAGGACTTACCAACCGGTACACATATCAGATTACTACCAAGTAAAAAAAAAAAAACTCCGTCCAGAAAGAAGGGTTAAAAAGGGGAGTAACCTCTTCGATAGGACTTACAGAGAAAATAGACATTCCTCGGAAACACCAAAAATGGCATGGAAAAAAAAATTACTCAATTATTTAAAAGCCATTCCGACCACTGTCCAAGAAGAGAAAGTCTCCGTTCAGGTAGATTGCTCCGTAAGAGCATTTAACATAGAAAACTATATTAACCAGAATGCCCTTAACAGTATAATACATCTGATGAAGCCTCAAAATTTTGTCCTCCTTCCAAGTTGCAATAGCTTCTTTTCTTTCCATTTCGAAATGTTACTGCACGCATCAATACAGTCCATGGATGAAATAAAGTTGCACAGTTTTTACACCCCCAATTTTTCCACCAGTGCAAATAAGAGGAGCATTTATTTCAATCGCTACGTCTGCTCCAGTGGAAAGACTCTCGACTCTGTTAGCATTCCTCTAAGTGTTCCTTACGAGAATGTGCGCATAAAGAGCATCTACACGATGATCAACACGACCAAGGTTGCCGATGGGCAGCTGAACGTTTTTAAAATTAAGGCCACCGTGGGTTCCACGGGGAGCGAACCCAGTTCGCAGCTATGCCCCAGGAGGTAAGCCACCACGAGCCGCTAAGCTGATTCGAAGCGTTACTCACGCCGGTTCCAAGTGTTACTAACGTGTCTTTTGTTAGCAGAACGCACGCGCTAAGACTAGCGACTTTAGCATAGCATAACACTTTACGTAACTGCCTTGTCGTAACTGCCCTCTCTTAACTGCCCCCTCTCAACTGCTCCCCCACTGCAGGCGGAAACGATTCATCAACGAGCACAGCACATTCTGGAGCGAATTCAGCGAGGCGAACTACTCCCTTGCCATAGACAACCAAAATGAAGAGACGCAGGAAGGGGAAAAAAATACAAAGGAAAAAAAGGAAAATCAAGAAAGTCCAAGGCAGGGGGAACAAAATGCCCCCAATGAAACAAGCCAAAGTGGAGGTAAGGAAAAGTCGAATGAGAAGAAACCCTTTTTGGATTACTACCTGGAAGACGAGGTAGGCAGAGGAGGAGCAACACAGGGAGAAGAAGATCAGCATCGTCCAGGCGAATCATCGGAAGATTCTGATGCTTCGTCCGAAATGTGGGACATCCTCTCGAATGAAGACTACATGGATGAAGAACACACCCCCAGTGGCAGTATCTACATCGGTGAAGTAAGCATGAAAAATCTATCCCTAGCTATAAGTAGCACATTTCAAAGATGCTTAAACTTTACTCAAGAAAATCAAATTATAATTGATGGCAAGACATGTGTTAAGAAGGAAGAACGGGACATAGCCACGCGAGGACCGACTGGTCACAGAAAAGTCGAGAGAACAAAAAGGAACGTCGTTTGGAAAGTTCAGAGCTCCCTCGACCCATCATTCTACTTTCTGCGAAACGTTTTGAAGGACATGTACAACCATGTTTCTATATGAAAGGAGCAACAGGGGGGGGAAGGAGCACGACCTCTCTGCCTTTACATGCGTATTTTCGTATTGAGTAGAGTGCCTTTACAATTTCCCCCTTTTTTTTTTGTTTCAAAATGGTAAACCTGGGTTTATTGTTCCCTTAAAAGTGTTTTTTTTTTTTATGTTTTTTTCTTCTCCTCTTCCCCCAAGTGACTTTTAATTTTAACATAGCGTACGTGCACTACTTGCAGGGCATCCTTAAAAAAGGTATGCTTTGCCTGTATCCGCCGAATGAGCTTCCTTTTGGAAGGCATCCCCTCCATTTTAAACTCCCTTTCGCTTTGAAAGTTGCCCCACTGTGGTTGGTCACAAATGGGGCAACACGGAGAAGAAGCCATTTAACGGAAGACTGTTAAAATAAGTGTTGTTTTGTAAGAAGGATGTACTACTCGGCGCATCTCCTTTGCGATTTGCGCTTTGGGACGATTACAATGAAAAAATCGCGAAGTGCAGAGAGACATTTTCCAACGTGTGTATATATAGCATACTCTCCCTTTCGAAATGCCTTTGATGAGCTATTTCTTTATCTTACCAAAATGGGGGCAACGGATTTGATGACCCCGCACTCGGCACATAAAACAGTAGACATGGCATGGCTTACCAGATTGCAACTTCCCAATGCAAAATACAATGCAAGTATAATTTTTATCACATAATATTCCTTTTCGTGTTCCCATTATTTCAGTGTTTTAAAAAAAAATAAATAAATAAATCTGCACTGATTTCGCACGATTCGTTAAGCTCCCTATCAGTATTCACATGCACATGTATATGTATATAGCTCCTTCATTTACAGAAAAAAAGGAAGTTACATAATTTTACAAGGCATGCATGGCCCCATACGTACGAACGAGTCGCACGTACATATTAACACAGTTAATGATGAATGATGAATCGTGATAAATGATGATAAATGACGATGAATTATTTAGTTATTTTACTTATTTATTTTTTATTTATTTTTTTTTTTTTTTTGGGAGAGTGACTCACTTGTGGGACACACATGCAAACCCACCAGGCACGCGTTCAAAAGGGTCGCATGGTCCACATGCAGATGGTGTTTTGCTGTGTGTGTATATATGCTCTTCCATACATGGGAGGTACCGCACGGAGGAAAAAAGTTCCCTCTGTCTCTTCGCGGGGGAAAAGGCGAACGCATTTCAGAAGCCCCATAGAGGGTGCATACATATATTTCCACCCTTTTCTCTTCACCAAACTGGGACAATATAATAGTGGCCACAGTTGTTCTTCTCAGCAGCGATTTCTGTGGTGATGCTTCGGATTAGCCCGTTCAATCGACTTCCTCGACGGTGGGTCCACTTCCAGCGGGAGCACCTCCGGGCATTCCGCCGCCTGGCATGCCACCTGGCATACCACCTGGGAAATTCATTCCACCTGGCATTCCGCCACCGGGCATGCCTCCTGGCATACCTCCGGGCATTCCACCGGGCATTCCACCGGGCATTCCGCCAGCTGCACCACCGACGTCCTGATATATCTTCGACATGATGGGAGCACAAACGGACTCAGCTTCCTTCTGCTTGGATTCATATTCTTCTTTGCTAGCCAATTGGTTCTTCTCTAACCACTCCAATATGGTAGTGATGCACTTCATGGCAGTTTCAACTTCGGATGCCTGCAATTTCTCTTTTATTTTCTGGTCCTCTAATGAGCTCTTTACTCCGTAGCAGTAGTTTTCGAGGCTGTTCCTAGCTTCAATTCTCTTTTTGTTTTCTTCATCTTCCGCTTTGTACTTCTCAGCGTCGTTCACCATACGGTCAATTTCTTCTGGGGACAATCTTCCCTTATCATTGGTAATAGTAATATGATTCTGCTTTCCAGTGGACTTCTCAACCGCAGTGACGTTCAGGATACCATTGGCATCAATGTCGAAGGTGACTTCAATTTGGGGCACTTTTCTCGGGGCTGGTGGGATACCATCGAGGTGAAATTTACCCAATAAGTTGTTGTCCTTAGTTAGGGCTCTCTCTCCTTCGTACACTTGGATCAGCACTCCTGGTTGATTATCAGCATAGGTGGTGAAAATTTGACTCTTCTTTGCTGGGATGGTGGTATTTCTCTCTATCAGCTTGGTCATAACACCTCCTGCGGTTTCGAGACCGAGAGATAATGAGCAAACATCTAAGAGCAACAAGTCTTGCACAGCATTGGATTGGTCACCAGAGAGAATAGCTGCTTGCACGGCTGCACCATAGGCAACGGCTTCATCAGGGTTGATGGATCTGCAGGCTTCCTTTCCATTAAAGAACTCCTTAATGAGCGTCTGAATTTTTGGGATTCTTGTGGAACCACCAACAAGGACAACTTCGTGGACGCTCTTCTTGTCCATCATTGCATCTTTCAACACCTTCTCGACAGGGATTAACGTGTCACGGAAGTAATCGATACATAGTTCCTCGAATCTGGCTCTGCTTACTGTCACGCTGTAGTCGATACCTTCAAAAAGGGAATCAATTTCGATGGTGGCTTGCGTGGAGGAGGATAAGGTACGCTTGGCTCTCTCACATTGGGTTCGTAATCTTCTGAGAGCTCTGCTATTTTTGGATAAATCCTTTCCTCTATTTTTTCTTTTAAAATCTTCAACACAGAAGTTGACCAATCTGTTGTCAAAATCTTCTCCTCCCAAGTGTGTGTCTCCAGCGGTCGCCTTCACTTCGAAAATTCCATCTTCGATAGTCAGGAGGGATACATCGAAGGTTCCTCCTCCCAGGTCGAAGATGAGAATGTTCTTTTCCCCCTTTCCTTTTTTGTGCAGACCATACGCAATAGCAGCGGCAGTTGGCTCGTTAATGATTCTCATGACATTCAGACCAGCAATGGTACCTGCGTCTTTCGTGGCTTGTCTTTGTGAATCATTAAAATATGCTGGCACGGTGATGACTGCATTTTTTATGGACTTTCCCAAAAACGCTTCTGCATTTTCTTTCATTTTTTGCAAAACCATGGAAGAGATTTCCTCGGGGTGAAATAATTTCTTCTCTCCCTGATAGTTTACCTCAATCATGGGCTTCTCCTCAGCACCGGATTTGACAGTAAAGGGCCAGTGCTTCATATCGCTCTGCACAGACGATTCGGTAAATTTCCTTCCAATCAGCCTCTTCGCATCAAAAACAGTGTTCTCTGGGTTCCTCGCCACTTGGTTCTTAGCAGCATCTCCGATTAGTCTTTCCGTGTCAGTGAAGGCCACATACGAGGGAGTGGTTCTGTTTCCCTGGTCATTGGCAATGATATCTACATTTTCGTTTCTCCATACTCCGACACAGGAATAGGTGGTACCAAGGTCGATACCGATGGCGATGTTCGATTCGGGGAGGTTTGGCTTGGATGCTTTTCCGCTGGCCATTTTTGAGATCTCAAGTGGGAGAAAAAAGTAGGGAACTTCGCAAAACAGGGGGTGGGGTTAGAGGGCTTGTATTCTTCTTAACGCTCCTCCGTTAACGGGTAAGCAGGTTAAGTAAAGCACAGAGCACTTAAATGACACCGAAGAAACTTGCGCAGTTGTGCTAATTCTTCTTTAGAAAAAGGGAGAAGCAACAACGAGCAGTGGTTAACTGACGGGGAAAAGAAAGCATACACTGTGCTTCGTTCTCTTGAGCGTAAATAAAAAAAAAAGGGCAGAAAAGGTTCTTATTCTTTTTTCTTTTACCACAAGATGTGAAAACAGAGAACGAGGGGAAAAAAAGTGAAGGAATGAAAAAAACAATTATATTATATTTTAATATAATAAATGAGAATAAAGAGAATAAAACGATACTTTTTACAATTCCGCAAAAAAGGGAATATGCCTCAATTGGTTATAAAAATTTTTTCTGTACATAAAATGGTATGTATAATGATATAAAAGGTACTTTTTTGACTTTTGTGTTTTGTTGTTTTATTTTGTTTTCTTTTTTTTTTTTGGCAAAAAAAAAATGTTTATAAAAATTTTTTTGAAATCCGTTTTGCAAAAAAAAAAAAAAATATTTCAGTTTCATTTTTTGCATATTTTTTGTTCAAAATTCAGGGGACTAAATTTCGTTACTTTTCGAAATTCTGAAGGTGCTGCAAGTCGCCAGTGGGAAAATAAGGAGGGGCCGCGGGGCCATTTGGCCCCGTCCGCCGCAACGGGTGCTTATACATGCGCATAGATAAAAAAAATGCGCTGCTTATTTGTTTATATAATGCTACATATGTATGAGGATTGTATATGTGGCATATTCTTTATATATGCTCCGGATTTTATTTCCCACCTCCTCCCGGGCACAACTGCTGATCCGGAAGCGTATGCAGCGTTATATATATATGCCTATAATATATATACATATATATACCTATATATGTACTTATAATTACATGCGTGTATTTTTTCCTGAGCCGACGGCGAAACATAGGCGCTAATTTATTAATGTACGCTTTTTTGGGGAGCTCATGCGAGAACAAAAAAATGGCCCCGCCCGTCGCTCCTGTATATTTTTTGGCTGCACTTAGAATTCACCCAATTGTGTGACAGCCCTCACCCCATACGCGCGCTTTTGCAAAATATGAGCTTTTTGCGAAATGAACGTATTTCTCTTTTTTTTTTCTTTTTTGCTTATCACATCAAAGCGTCCATAAACTTACCAAATGGGTTGACCTAAATGAGCTTTTCCTTTTATATATATATACCCTTTTTTATGGTCTCCATATATACATCATTTTCACCCCTTCCAAAAAGGGCATATAATATATAGAGGGGAAGGACAGTCATCCCCCTATTCACCCAAGCTGTCATGATATATATCTATAAGTGGGTCCATATTAATTTGCTTCTCACAAAGCAACCGATTTTTCTTGTGTATGTATACGGCAGTCAAGGGGGGACCAGAGGGCGCTGCATGCTTTGCATATTACTGAAAGTGTTCTGCATATCCCCCTCGTGAAGAGCCAACCGAATGCGTACCATCATGCGGAGTCGCAAAAAAAAAAAA